GAACTTGCCGATAAAGGATATCTGTGCTGCTCCCGTTTGGTAGTGTGTATCGTTGCAAAACAGTTTTTTCAGCAATGACTGCCATTTAGACAAAACATAGTAGGCTATGTATCAATAATGATCTGGGACCATCAAATCATCTGATCTGAGACCATCAAACCCCAACTCACTGGCAAAATGCAAGCCCAGCCACGTCACCAATACTTGTCAAAATAGACATAGTTCTATTTTGGTGTGCGGAAAACAGAAAGTAGATTTCTCCTTGTGAAAGTGGGAGGGAACGTAAGAGGAAAAACAGTCTTGAGTCAAGCGGTTCTGTTTTCTTTCAACTCACTTAGCCCCTAGACTGTATCAGTGTTTTAATCTAGGTTTATTATACCTCATAAAATGTGCGCAAACCAAGCCTTAATACAGAAGCCCATGGGTTCCACCATTTCTGAAGCCTTGGGAGTCTCCTCCTCAATTTACATGTGCTAAATATGTCTTCAAAGCATAACCATATCAGCTTTAAAAACCTGTACCCACCTCCTAAAAATCCACTTGTCAGTAATCTACTTACCATATAGAAACACCATGTATCATGTGAAAACTGAGGACAAGTCTTGTTATATAATCCTTCCAGTGCTAAAAGTTGTTTACCTTGAAATGCAAAAAAAAAAAAGGCCCTTCAAAGGACAAGTGTATCAATACAATGGCATCACTATGCCAATATATCCAAGTACTGGAGCTCCCTTCAGCTATTTTAAACACACACATTGGCAGATCAAGCTACATATGATGCTAAACATATCACTGGAAGTTGCATGTATTTTATTTTTGAATAAATGGACCAACTCCCCTCTTCACACCCTGTGGGGACCAAAAATTTACATACACACATTCTGTGCATTTTCTGTTTTAAAAAATGAGGTGCTGGTACTTACATTTTCATATAAGCGCCACAAGCACACCCCCCCCAAGTGATGGAACTCTGTACCAGTGAGTAGCATTACCAAAAAGTACTAATGTGCATGTGTAAATGTATAAATACACTGCCCGCCCACACACTATACTACCAATTGACATTCATATAAAGTTTAGCCTTTTGTCATGACGTTGACCAAAAAAATCTATTCTTCAGGGTGGGGATAGAAAGATCAGTCTATTTTTGCTTTGTTTTGCTTTCACGGGCCTCAGAATTCTGCTTTCATCCCATTCCTACATGAATCTGACTTTTAAAACAAGGCATGAAAATTCACATTAAGTACATAATTAATCACTTGCTTTGAACACATTCCTTCGTTCTCAGAACACGCAGTTCTAAATGAACTTTAACTTGAAAGACACAATTTGATACATTTGAGCTAAACAGCAATGTCAATGTGGAATTGTGTGTTTTAAACTATTTGTTTGTTGTGCGTGTTTTAAAATGTTGCGTGTTCTTGTGGAGCCAATACAAAAGCAGCTTAGTTAAATGTGTGTCATAATTTCTGTTTATTCAGTTATTTTAAGCATCTCTCCGAGTACTCAGGTAACACGGGTTTTAATTCACTGAATAGCAGAAAAATTAACTCCATCTTCACTATTCAAACTGAGCAATGCTAATTTTACACTATCACCCAACAATGCTGACAAGATGCAATCTTGATTTATAAAAATCATATGAAAGACAATGGCTCAAATGAATTTGCTGTTCCTGAACTGCTCCCATTGAGGTTTCTGAAGGATCATCTTTCCCTGAAGGGAAATGAGGAGAAAAAAACAGCTGGGTGAAATGCCAACATCCAGCTTTCATTGTTTTATTCCCTTTGTAAAGCACTCTGAGGTTTTTAACAATCAAGTGGTGTATAATTTTTATGAAATAAAATAACAGATAATAAACAAACTCAGGAAAATTACATGGCAAGTTAACTTTCCTAACTATACAGTGGTACCTCTGGTTACAGACGCTTCAGGTTACAGACTCCGCTAACCCAGAAACAGTACCTCGGCTTAAGAAAAAAAATTCCTTCCAGTAGCACCTTAAAGACCAACTAAGTTAGTTCTTGGTATGAGCTTTCGTGTGCATGCACACTTCTTCAGATACACACACGTGCATGCACACGAAAGCTCATACCAAGAACTAACTTAGTTGGTCTTTAGGGTGCTACTGGAAGGAATTTTTTTTGTTTTGACTATGGCAGACCAACACGGCTACCCATCTGTAACTCGGCTTAAGAACTTTGCTTCAGGATGAGAACAGAAATTGTGTGGCGGCAGCAGGAGGCCCCATTAGCTAAAGTGGTACCTCAGGTTAAGAACAGTTTCAGGTTATGAACGGACCTCCAGAACGAATTAAGTTCTTAACCCGAGGGACCACTGTACTAAGAAATTAATCATTTGGGAACAGCAGTCTCATGAGAGTCTCTCCCAACCAATTTATTGTGAAGGTATAATACTAAGGACTACAAGATCATCAAAACTTTGGGGGCAAACAGGACTCAATAGCAACCACTTTGAGGTTATGTGAAAACATTTGTTGCAAATCAGTTGTGACAACTGGTTGCCAAAAGCACAAGTTGCTGCTGTGCACGTGACAAGCTGGGTGAATTTTCTCACACAGATCATGATGTGCCTTTTGGGGATATTCACGGTAGCCAATTCACATGAACAGTGTTCCTCACAGACACATCTAATAAACACAAGGAAGTTTTTGTCGAAGTAGCTCTTCCTAAATAGTTACACTAATCAACCCTAGCTTCCATTACTCCCAGTAGGGAGTAGGGATTTACTTCTACAAACATATCTCGAATGGTCTGGTCTACAAACATATCTAGAATAAAAAGTGTCAGGTATGTTAGGGAGCATACAAACTAGGTACAAGATAGAGATACCTGGAAGATTTTGTGGAAATTAGCTATTCATCAATCTAAATAACTTCAATATTGGTAACATGCTGATTCTTTTCTTGCTTTATTTTTCACACAGTGAGCAACGTCCAAGAATTTCCGTATGATGAAAAACTGCACTGTACTAGGTAATTTAGAACGCAATGTTGCAGACTTAAGTGAGCCCGTTTTATTAAACTGACAGTGGACCAAAGGCATGAGGAAATTAGAGTATTTGTTCTTTTCAATTGTGTTATGTAACATGTGACTGAGTGTTTATACAGAACATACGCACGCAAGAATACAAAACCTAACAGATATTAGCCATGCACACAAAGGGTATAGCTGTTAAGTATACACATAAACAGACAAGTGTGTTTGAATAAAGATGTGCTTCCAACCATTTGTTTCTATATTAAATCCATGTTTATTGCTTAAGTTGTATCACAGTGGAGATTAAATTATTCTTAATCATCCGGTCAGTGCTTGTGTACCATCAATAAGAAAAACATTAAAACCAACTCATTCATACACTCTAGGTCCTGTCACTTTCCCAACACTCATTGCCTCTTTGTGTTCCTTTATGTTGCCACATATTGATAGGATTGTAAAAAGATAAAGCTAACAGACTTATTGATAACATCATTTTTTCTTCAAGTATTTGGAAAGGCAGTACAACTGTCCTGTACTGAATATTAGAAGCACATTTGCAATGCTACTTTATTGCTACAAGATAGAGGCTCCTGATGGGATGATAATGGAATGCCATGTCACTGTGTATGAAGATGATTTTTAGCATTCTGTTTTGTTCAGAACTCTTCCCATGTTAGTGAACAACACTCAGTAGAGACTTCCCGCCCCCCGCTGTTAAGACATGGGATTTCAAACTGCAAATAAATACAGCGGACACTCACAACATGTGCAGTGCAAATTCCAAGTAAACAGAATGACATGGAAATTAATAAACTCATAGTTGCCAACACTGGTTCAATAGGACCGTCCTGATATTTGCTCAACGCCCTATGTTCCCATTCTCTGTTTAAAGCCAGAAAAGTCTGGTATCGGCTACAGTGATTGAAAGTGTTGTGCAGAAGGGCAGCTATGGACGTGGGCAGAGACAAACATTCCAACTAGGTTTCCTAGGTTCAATGTCATGCATGATATCAAACCTCTACAAAGACAGCAGTAACTGACAAAAAGGATAGCCTCCAATTTATTCAGAGAATTGATGTTGGCAACTATGTAACATGGATTGTGTGGCCCAGACCAGCAGAAGGAACACAGACAGAACTATTGACAGTGAACCTCAGAACCACTGTGGCTCTAGGGTGCGAGTGGGGAACTTAATTGCAATAATATAAAAGCAAAGACATTCAACTTTGTAACAAATCCCAAAGGTGGTTTGATTCTGCATTGCTCAAGGGACATGGCAAGACCTTTTCCAAAGAGCCTGGGGCAGATTTTCTTTCCCCTCTGCTTCATTTGTTTTTCTAAATCTATCTAATCTATCCACACAGCCCTTGTAATTATCAAAATAAAACAACACCCTTACAATGGCATAAATTAATGGATATGTGGAAAGTGAAGAAGGAAGGTAAAATATACATAAATATAAAATTACAGCTTACGGTACTCTTGTGCAATTTCCTTTTCTCTAAAGAAATGGAAGAGAAAGGAAGAGTTAAGAAGTATATCAAAATTAGTGTTTTGTTATCATATTCTTCAGCGCCGTTTAAGAATATGATTTATATGGCTGCATTATGATTCTGCAGTTTGTTCACTGCTATATACCAAACACCAGGAAAGATGACTTTAACATCATTGCCAGATAACATAGTGAAACTTCAAGGAATCAAAACAAAGTTCTCTCTGGAAAAATGTGAATGAATATATGAAAAAAAGGAAGAATAGTTGCCAAGTAAGAGTGAACCTTTCCTTATCTGGGACGCACACATGTAGATTCACAAATGGAGAAGTCATAAATATACTTATTGAATTACTTCAGAGAATTAAGGCTTCTAAAAAAACTTCAGTGCCAGAATAACCTTTTTGCATCAGTATTAAGAATAAAATACATTTGCATTTTAGGTTGTGCTTCATTTTTCTAAAGATTTTCCTTAGTTCTGCAGAATTTAATCGCATAAGATTACATACTGTAGGGGAGCGTTAGAACTGTTTATTGTTTTGCTTTAAGTAGGTGTTAGACTAAGTTACAGCTATAAAATTCAGTTATAGAACTGATTCGCTGCTAATGTACATTGGGAAGTTGGCTCATTTCACCTTTTTTTCATGTTTAATGTGGCCATTTCTTCTATACTTGCCATTTGGTATCCCATTTTGGTAATGTCCATTAATGGTAGTATGTTCATCAGTGGACCAAAGATGTTTGCTTTGCTTGCGGATAAATTTTGCTATCCTGACCAAAACGTAGCAGAGTAAGGCAGTACCAAGCAGTACAATAAAGGCAATATCCAATAAGAAATACTGATATAAAGAGACTGTGAAAACAGCAGCACGTAGATGCTGTGCTCCATTATGACGAAGGATGTAATTAATCCAGTAGACTGTTCGATCAACAGGATGGCCTGGTTGGTCTTTATGAATTTCAGACAGCTTCTGGGCCCTTTGTCTGTAGCTGTGAAGTGGAAAAACAGAACTAATTCAGCATATTGCATCTATGCAATTCCCCCAATTAATTGCTTCATCACCTCTGAATGTAATTTTCTGGAGGTGAATCTATGAAATCTATTTATTATATTGTTACATTTCTGTTTTGCCCTTCCTTCAGAGGAGCCCAGGGAACTATATAATATAAAATAAAATACATCTGATATTATACAACACAATCATAAATATCTATAAAATATCAACCATTAAAACTCAGTGGGCAGTTGCATATGGCTACTATAACTACTTTATAGACTTTTTTTTCCACGTTAGTGGAAGCTTAGCAAAGGAATCTTACCTGGGATCATTAATAACTTTCACTAGTGCTTTATATAATTCATCCTCAGTAATAGTCTTCCAGTTTAGTAATATTCCCATGCCTTTGGCCTGCACTCGGGTCATAGTGTCATAATGATCTCCGAAAAGAGGAATTCCCACCACAGGTACACCGTGGTACATGGTTTCAAAAATGCTGTTCAGACCACCATGACTCAGAAAGGCCTTAATCTTAGAGTGACCTAAAGTGGCAAGAGGCAAGGGAAGAAAACGTTTCATGTTAGCTTTAACTTATCATAAAATACCGTATCTATGTACTTAATAAATAGGCATTTGCATAAACTTGGAATGGGAATAAGAGGACTTATTCCCCATCTCTCTTGGAAAAGTTCATTGCAGGTGACATGTGCATGTGGAAGTGTTGTTGCCATGGCTGCAGAATACAGAAACAAGCTATTGCTTGCCAAGCCACTTTTCGAACTACACATGAGATCTAAATTCTGTCTTCATGCTTCAAAGTGTGGGTAATAAAAACATCAACGGCTTCACTTTTCAAACAATGGTCAGAGCAGTTGCTAAGTAGGTGTATATACTGCCAAGAGAGGCAATCTCCCTTAAATGCTACATTATTAGCGATAATATAGCTGATGTACCACTAAGAACATTAGTATAACTTTGGCAGTGCAAAGAAAAGAGCCAGTGTGGTGTAGTGGTTAGTGTGTTGGACTAAGACCTGGGGGACCAGGGTTCAAATCCCCACTCAAGTCATGAAACCCACTGGGCGACTCTGGGGCAGTCACTACCTCACAAGGCTGTTATTGTTAGGATAAACTGGGGAGGCGGAGAAGCACGTATACCACCTTGATCTCCCTGGAGGAAAAGGTGGTATACTGACATAATAAATAATAAACAAATAAAACCATATTCACAACCAAAAGTGAATACAGAAAGTGGACATATCTTTCCGAAACACTATTTGAGTTATCAGAACCCGGGTTTTTAATAATAAATACCAAATCTAGAAATCCAATGTATTATACAAATAAGATACAATGGGATTTTAGTGTTTAAGAGCAGAGAGAACTAAACTTCACTTCCAATTCTACTTACCCAGTAAGTCATTCTGCGGTAACCATTCTATGAGTTTTGTATTGTTACCCAAGTTCCTAGGTTTCTTCCCTGAATACCTAACACAGAGAAAAGAAACCAGTTTCAAAATGCATTCTAAGGAATAGAACAATTTGCTAGCTCCTTTTCTACTGTGCAAGTGACTTGCAAATCAAAGGATTTAAAATCCAGTATGCAATTCATTAAAAATAGAAACACATAGCTTATGTGTTAGGACAAGGGTAGGCAATTTCTAGACCTCGGGCCAAAATAAACCTGCCAGGGCTACCCAAGAGATTGTTTTGGCCAAGTGAAACACACCTGTCCTATACCTGGCATCATATATGTTGCAGCCTTCTCAGCATGTAAACACCTGTGCTCAGAGGTCTGGACTGCTTGCCGATGTACTTCAAGGGCTGAGTTCAAGGTGTTACCATTAGTATACAATGCCCTTAACAACTTGACACCAGTTTACCCATGAGATCCCCTTTCCCCATATGTACCCAATCAGCTGCTTCAGTTGGAGGAACAGGCTTTTTATAGTTGCCACATAATACCTGCACTGCATCTGTAAGAAGTCAATCATTTATTGTGGAAGCACCAAAACTTTGGAACTTCCTGCCTACTGGTATTAGGCAGGTGCCTTCACTGTATTCTTTTCGGTGCCTGAAGATATTCTTATTTAGACAAACCTACGCAGATGTTTAGAAAGTTTGTATGAGTTTTAATTTGTTTTACTCTCTTCCATTGTGGTTTATAACTTTCTGTAATTTTGTAAATTTTCTAGTGATAATTTTACTGTTTTATCCTTTTAAATCTTAGGAAATAAATACATAATATGAAGTGTGTGGTGGCTAAAGTTGTGGCTGGACCAAAAGCTGGGAGTTGCAGGCACTGACAATCAGCTGGTTGATGGTGCCCACAAAGACCTTGTGGCTCTTTGGAAGCCCTGAAGATCCACTGACTGGTGGTTTGCAGATAGCTGTGCATGGCGCTTTGAAGCATCAGCTCATTGTCAGGGTTTCAAAGTGGCTCACTGCAAGCACCACAAACATCTGATTGGCAGGACTGGGGCAGGCCACTTGTTTAACATGGCCCATGGGAGGGTGGAGTTCTCTGCCCCTGGGTTAGGACAAGGGCAGAAAACCAGGTGCATCAAATAAGGTACACTGGTGATGGATTTTAAAAGTTTCACAAATAGGCTAAAAGCCAAATACATCAGATCAGTTTTCAATTCAAGAAAGCTCATGCAATGTAACTTACTGATGATAAATAAGACTGTTAAAATTGAAATTAAACAACTATGCAATATTTGCAATACATTTTTAGACACACACACCCTTGATTTGGACCTTAAGAGTTATTTTCTTAGCCTACACTTCTTTCCCACCTGTTGTGAACTGCAACTTAAAAGTTCTGTGGGCAGGTAGTACAGAAAGGTGGGTGAATGCACCTGGAATAAATAGTGCCACTCCTTTGTATTTTTTGCTGCCTGTGTTGCACTCTCCTAGACAAGACTTGGGCTGCATAAACACCATCCATTCAAAGCACATCCCCACCCCACAAAAAAAAGCAGGCAGGTGCAATTTACCCTTCACAGAACCACAAATTCTATAACCATAAACAAACTACAATTCCCAGAATTCTTTGAATGAGAAATGTGCTTTCAAAATGCTTTAAATGCATGATGTTTATGTAGCCTGGACTTGGTCCTGGATATCCATAAATGTTTTAAACCTATTGACAAAGCTATTGTGCTATGATACATACCTCCAAATAACTCGTTGAGGAAGTCTTGCCAGAGCATGGGCCAATTTATGTGCTATATCTTCTGACAAGTATTTGACTCCTGCTCCAAATGAAACAAGGACAAAGCCTTTTTCATTAGCACCATCCACCCATGTTTGGAGATCCTGAGAAAATAAAGAGCTTGCTGTCATGGCTAGCAAACACCATGCCACAAAGGGAAATGCTCCCTTATCATCTAACAGTGTCAAAACAAATCCATACGATAAATGCAGTTTTGTTGAAGATTCATTATTTCATTAATTAAAAACAACAACTGTGAGTACAATCCAGAAAGCACAAATGCAACAAGTGCAGAATTGAAACCCAGCCCATGGAATTACTAGATACTCAAAGGGAAATAGACTTCCATCACCCCCCTACAGGGCACCCCATATTTAGGGAGTCAAGGATGGGATAAAAGGAGGAAGTAATCAAGTAGCCTGAGCATGTCACTACTTAAGTCCTTCCTCCTCATCCCGTAAGTCAGGAGGATCCTGCACAATCAAAACCATGAGCAAACTAGACTTTTTTTGAGGCTCTCCTATTGCTGCCCATGACTAAGGTGGAAATGGAACCACAAACTGGCATACACACCGGACACCTGAGCATCCTCCTGGGGCTGATCAGTTGCACCAAGGATTCATACACTATCTTGGTATGCAGGGTAATGTATAGATTGTGCCTAAAGAACTTAATTCAAAAGCCATATGTCTTAATCTATCTTTTAATAATCAAATGAGTCTTACAGTTCCAAAAGTCATTTCTAACATGCAAATACCACTATGACTTTCAGGAATGGATTCAACTGCTGAATCACAGTTTATTGTCTGTAACTGTAAAAAAAATTTTTTTTTAAATGACCTGTTTCATAAGGAGAGTGTAAATTGAGCCAAGAATGTCTCAGCTGTGGTCAAATGGTGACTCAATCGCCAAGCAATTCAAGATCAATCCCTTTTCCTCTCCACCTTTTCCCCAGCTGAAAGAGGAAGCAGCACTTTTTTACAGGGAAAGCAAGCAGGTTGGCAGTTTGCAAAGATGGGGGCCAAGAGACACATGCTTGGCCATAGGAGCCAACTCCTATGGGAGGGGTCTTCAGCCCCCCCAAAAAAATATTTGAGGGAGAAGCCCCACCCACCCAAGTTTATGGGCATTGCCATTCAAATGGTGTGCGTGCACCACACCATGGTGATCTATCATGTGGGGCAGGGCTTACGTGTGCCCCTCTAATATTTTATTCAAATTGGCACCCCTGTGTCTGGCTGAAGAAGTCTTGAGGGAGATGCAGTCATAGCAGGGACTGCTACTCTTGGCCATATGTATGATTGCAACCTAAGTCTTGCAGTGTTGGCCATCTTGTGGATTGATGTGGCAGGACAGTGAAATACATGAGCTATGACCCAGAAGGCCTTAGCAGTTGTTAATTGGAAGCACTAGGCAAGCAACTCTTTCTTAGCTTTTCATCTACAGCCTGAACTTTGCAGGTAATACAAATTTACATAGATTGTTCCTGAAGACTTTTAAATTTCCAGCACTCTGAGCAGAAAGTTTTTTAAAATAGTACAAATATAATCCAGAATATTACAATCACTAGAATAATACAAGGCCCACACATTTTTACATGTAATTGGAAAACCCCAAGACGTGAACTTTGCCTCTCATATTCCAGCACAAAGTCAGCCAAATCACTCATGGGAGATCCGATGCAACAATACTGTACATACTTGAAACTGCCTTTGGGGTAATTCCAGTAGAGGAAGTGATTGATTATATGCTTGCAGAATGTAAACTTTATTTACTTTATTCAGTAGCAAAGATTAGCACATCACACAAGGAAAGACCTTTTGAGGTAAATGAGTAACCAAGAATAAAAGAATGCTAAAAGAACCCAAACATCTGAAAGTTACAGAATGTTTTTCACTTACTGACTGACACTTCATCTGAGACAGATTGGGGGTTTTTTGGTCCTAGAATTTTCACAAGCCCTTGGTGAAGTCAACATATTTTCTAATTTAAGGATAGGAATCTTTGAGGTTTCCATATTCCTACACCTCCTGCAACATCCCCATCTCCCTTGAATTGACTAGTGTCCTCATCTAACCCTTCCATATGCACCTTTTATTCTTTTCCTACCAACTCCAAATTGTATACACGCCCCCCCCCGGCAGCACTGCTATTCTTCCTCTTTGTCATATTATCAACCCCTTCTTGATTGTTTCCTGCAGTATTCAAAAACAGTCCCCACCCCCCTTTCCTCAATAAACTGCTGTTTGGTCTATCCTTCAATTACTAGAGCATGTTGCATTAACTTCTTCTTCAATCTACTTGGATCTGGACTGTCTCTAGTCTGGCTTCCACCCTCTGCAGGTCACTGAAATCACCCTCATTAAAATCACTTACACATCAGAATGCCTCTGTCTCATCCATCTTCAATTCACTGCTGCCTTCCATACACTTGATTTCCTTAGCCATGACTTTATCCTAAGCTGATTCCACTCCAACCTTATTCCTTCAGTATTTCCACAGAGGAAGTGCTTCCTCTCTCCACTGGAGAGCCATATGTTCATGGCCATTCTATCTTCACACACTGTCTCTGTGACAATATCCAGTTTCACATCTCTCTACCTGATACTTTTACCCCTTCCTTCACTTCTGTATCCCCACCTGATATTTCTCCTTGGATGCTTCAATGTCTTAGCATAGCCAACTCTGAATTTCTGGTTTTTCCACCCAAGCCCTTCTCTCATTGTACTTTCTACTTATTAGTCGACAATGTCTCCTGTCACCCTGTGGTATAGGCACAAACCCTTTATCTGTCTCCTTTCTCCCCTATATTTTGCTGTGAAGTCACAATGCTTCTGTGTTTACAGCATGGCAAAAATTTGGCCCTTCCTCTCTATTCCCTTGGTGAAAACTCCAGTTGATATTACAGTCAGCTTTTGAACTAAATTCTACAATATTTGCTTTTATGATCTTTCGTTGGAGGCTTCTCAGTTCTCCCCAGCACTTTACAGACAAAACCATTCACCTCTTTCATGGATACTAGCCATGATGCCTGTTCTGCCCCTTTTCAAATCTCTATACTGGCTTCCTGCCCACTCCTGAATCCAGCACAAATTTCTTGTTCTTATGCTGAAAGTCCTCCACAGCCTTACATCCTCCTCTCTTCATTCTGATTTCCCTGTACATGCCTTCAAATGACATTTGCTTCTCCTGTTCCACCAACTTGCCATTCCTTAGCACTCCCCCCCCTGTGTCAAATTACAGGGCAGGAACTGCCCTCCTGCACTCTGCAAAGCACCTTACACAGCCGAAGCACTATATAAAAAACTCCAATTGTAAAATCACAGGTGAGGGCAATCTAAAATGTATTGGACTTATGTGAGTGAAGCGTTGTAACCAACGGGACATGTATGACAACAGCTAGAAGGCAGAACTGATTGGCACATGCTCATCTTTCTCTAACAGTACTACAAGGCTAGATATTCTGAATGCCTATAGCATGTACTCATGATGCAGGACAGCACCATGGAAAGCTTCAAGTGGGCAACTTGCTTCTGTGAAGACTGGAGGTGAACTGTGGCCTTACAAGTTCCTCCACCCAATCAATCCATCCCAAACCCCACCTCCCTCCAAGGGAAATTTTGTAGGCTGGTGGCTGGGCCCAGGGAAACCTAAGAAGTGACTGTTCCTAATGGGGACTCAATTTCATATACTGATAGAACTTCTCAGTCAAATCTTTGGCTGCAGGCCTTTGATCTTTATTTTAGTCTTCACTTCAGAATGCCCAGGGCAGTATGAAGGCAACTCTTATATTCCTTTTCATGCCTTATTATTATTAATATTAATTTATTGAGTTTATATAACACCCTATACCCAGAGGTCTCAGGGCGGTTCACAGAAAAGATCACAACATATAATCAGAATAAAAACAACAACCCAATAACACACACACACACCGAAAAGAGCCACATTTTGAAAGGGTATAGGATGTCAAACAGATCAACCAAAGGCCTAGTTATTGGCATTTTTACATCTATATTACCTACCTGACATTTTTGTTTCAACTGTGCCCATCAGAACTGGTCTCATAAATCTGAACTGGATTTGAAAAGGTACCACAAAGAAGGAAAAGAAGGGAAATGTGGATGTTGCCCTGGTCAAAAGTTCCATCAAAGTCATTTGAATTAAAATCCAGAATATTGTTCTAAGGTAAGAATCATATCAAACTATATTTTATCCCTATCAGCAATGGAACTGAGTTAAGTTGATTAGCGGACATTCCTCCTAACACTGATAACATTTCACTAACAAAACAGAAACATGTACCATTCTGCATACAGAGATCTTTGTTTAGAGCAGGTTCTAATCTGGAAATGAGTATTAGCTATATTTTAAACCTAAACTTCAGCTACATTTCCAAAAAATCAGGTTCCATTTAGGGAACTGTTGTAAGGACAAAATATTATGTCAAATCACATGAATTCATATTCTTATGGAAGGTCATACACTTTAGGAGAGGGTTTCAAGCGTGTGAATTAGCACTACTAAAGTGCTCCCTGCAGTTTTGCTTTAACCATTTTAGTATTTATATAAAAAAATACAAGATATCAGACAGATATGGTATTGTATTTACAGTACTGTGTGATCTTTGTTCTCTTTGGTTTTTCTAGCTAGCTATTCTGCACAGCTGTGACTATAAGTGTGAGGTCCCAGCTGGCAGTAACCAGTGGTGCCTAATACTGAGCTTTGTTTCAGATAAACAAAGCACATAAATACAAACATAACTTGGTTTCAGTGTATGCAGCTCTCTCCCTGTTCAGCTGTTGGAATCAAATATGCAGAAGCATCAGTGCCTATTTGCCCAAGACTTTTGTGAGCAATCATCAATTCACAAAAATATATCTTGATGATGTTACTGTACAAGCCATGAATACATAATTTATAAAATAATTATTTAGAAAAAACCTGAAAGTTGAGCTACCTTATTAGTAGGTAAAATTAAGTTTATTGAAGTTTTGTTACAAATACTATATAAAAGGCTACATTTAAAAAGCTTTTACCCCATCATAAATGCTTTCTGGAAAATCAGTGGAGGATATTCTAAGAGAATGCATTTGCTTAAAAATAATAATTTTTAGATGCAACGTTTCACATAAATCTATAAAAA